GGCCGCTCCATTCCGCCTTCGCAGAGCCTTTGGCAGCAGCAGGGTCACGGTGTTGTAGCTGTGGGTCACGTTTAGCTGGCAGAATCTGTATTATCAGTGCTAATGCAGAAGAAGACAAGAAAGTAAGTTTGCTTTTCCAGTCCCGAGAGCAGTTTTCAGGGCTGGGCGTCATCCCAGAGAAACCGATTCACGGCTGCGTAGATGGGGTGGATTTGCAACGCAGTGGAAATACATTTGTATGGTAACGGCTTTTCCCTGGCTGTTTTAGGGAGGCCACCCGCCGCACGCCTCTGCCTCCTTTTTCCTCTCTGTAGCGTGGATTTAAGCACCAAACCCTCTTCCCAAGCCGAGATATTTTTGCTTGTCGGATCCATGGGTGAAGGAGGATGGTTTGGGATTTTGAAGCGAGTTCCCAAGCAGTGCAGGTCTAACATGGCAAACCACAAACAGCTTTTCCATTCAAATAGCTGACTAAGAGTTTGTAGGATCCTTTTGCCTCGCTGGATAAATGGATCCATCCCGTATCTGGACAAGGAGTGTGCAGAGTGGGGCTGGGGGCTGCTGGGGCACCACGTCTCGCCAGCTTTCCTCCCGTCGGGGAGGGACGTGTCACCCGTGATCGCCCAGACAGAGTTATTGGCCGAGCTGCTTATTGATTTTCTAATCATTTGCCGACACAGGCCCCCATCCTGTGTCACTGCCAAGGCAGATCGCAAATTGAACTGCAGCTGAATTGATGGGGGATTGATTAAAACTCACGGTAATTATTGGTTCTCTGCCTCCCGAGCCAGACGAATCAATGTCAGCAGTAACAGATCTGGTCCTTTATGAAAGCCCAGCAAATGCAGAGCGAGTGCCAGTTTTGGGAGCCCACGCGGGAGCCCAGACCGACCCTTCAGCACAGCCCGGGGAGTCGGGAATAGCACAGGCCAGCTTTTTGCTGGGTCATTGCTGACTACTGTGGGTGAGAACGTATTTGCACCCCAATGGGCTACTTCTCCACAGTAGGACATCCCGGTGGCAAACCTTCTGCTCCAGGGGTAGGAGCTCTGTAGTAAAGTTTTGTTGTGCCGAATAATTGCTCCATCCACCCATTCATCCCTGCAAAGCCCTCCGTGCCGGCGGCTGGCGATGCCTCTCCTGCGTCTGCCGCTACCAAAGCTTTCTGTCCCTGGGGAGCTGCTTGCTGCAACACTACAGCTGGCTGGAGAGCCGGCTCCGTGCCGAGCCGGGGAGGGGGTGGTTTTTTTTGCAAATTTTGTGCTGAGCTATTGGCCTGCCATAATTAATGGGATGCAATAATTGGGATGCATAATTACAAACGGAAGACGTGTTTCATGGTGATTAAAAGCCAAAACTGGAGGAATATCCCAAGGGTGGCCTTGAGCAGAGTGGGGCTAAGGGAGGGAGGGTTTTGGTGACCCGCTAACCCAGTCCCAGGGTGAGAGCCATCATCTTCCTCTGCGGGCTGGGGAAGATGCTGAGCTCAGCACACGTATCGGTGCCAGGGCAAGAGTCCCAGGTGACAGCTCAGAAAAGCCATGACTGATCTCCTGGCTGTGATCCTGTAGCTCCTGCTGACTTAAGGTCCCATCCAGTTGCCTTCAGCACCCTGGAAGATCCCTCGGGAGCTCTGGAGGGGACCTGGGCAGAGTCGCATCCTCCCCCATCCCCGTCAGCGTGAGGAGAGCAGCGGAGAGGCGGATGCGGTGCGGTGGAGCGGAAGATGCTGTTCGCAGCCAGCCCTCAGTGTCCTCCAGGGAGACGTGTTTCTGGCAATTTGCACAGCTCTTGCTCTTACAGTGGGGCCGGCAGATGCGGAGGAGACCGCAGGGGAGAAGTGTTGTATCTGCGGATTCACAAACACACTTACCCTGATCCTGTTTCCCAGGCAGCTCGGCGGTGAAAAGCACAGATTGTTCTCAGTGTCCTCTCCTCCTTCGTATTTATTCTGTATATGCAGCTAGAAAGCTTCCTGCTCCCATGCCTTCTGCTGCTCCGTGCCTAGACAGGGCTGCTGCTTCCTGGGCTGCCTCTCCGGGACCCTGCCTGTGCCCTGCCTGCTCTGCAGCGATGGGCAGCGTCTGGTTCCAGAGCCCTTTGCTGCCAGCATCCTTTGGCTAGGAAAGCCTTGTGCCTCTCAGCCCTCCCTTACCTCCCCTTCCCACCTCATCCAGTGTCTTCAAGGAAGGTGCTGAGGCTTGCAAGTTCCTCCCGAGCTGCAGAGGTGAGGGCGAGGTGTCCGAGGGACGTCGGGCACGGGGATGCCCGAGGCGTCGCGGTTGCTGCAGCTGGGGCAGAAGCTGCTTTGAAGCTGCTGCCATAGGGAAGTGGCACAGGATTTCTAGGAGGTGGAGAGGCACTTCTCATCGCTCGGATGGGGTTGGCCAGGACTCCCTAAAGCATCTTTCTGGTGTCCCATGTGGACAGTTTGCTTCTGGAGTAGCCAAGAGTGAGCAAGGCTCAGCAGCCCATCTCCTGTTGGGACCCCGTCTGTGAGAGCGAGCGCAGGGTCCAGGGTCTCCTGAACTTTTATTAATATGTACAGCATTTTGCTCACACAGAAAATTGATTTTCTTTTTTAAGCACAAAGTATAGTGGTTTTATAACCTTTCTTCTGCCTGACAGAGGCCATTTATATCCTGCCTTCATCAGTACCTGTACAAGCTCCAGTCTAACTCATCTTCAAGAAATTCCATAATGCATTTTTAATTGCGAGCTGCTCCTAGGCAAGATTTATTTATTTTTTCAAGGACTGGCTTTTTTGTTGTTGTTTGTGTGCATGCGTGTTTGGCGAAAAGGGATAAATAACGCCAGTGGAACAGAAGAGTGCTTTAATCTGGGTGACAATGTATTGATGGCATTTGCCGCCTGCTGGCTTTTATCTTCGGGGACAAGGAAAGCCAGCTGGGGAACTCAAATTAAAACCCAGAGCCAGATCCCCAGCTTGTGTGAATCAGCATGGCTCCCTCAGCTGCAGAAGAGCTTTCTGCTGTGCCTGGGCTGCCATCCTGTCCTTCCCCAGTCCTGCCTCCACCACGGGCCAGTCCTGGGCCGGCCTCTTCCATCCAGAAGACAGTGCCAAGGCCGTGTTGGCTGGCCTGCCTGCTCTGGGTTGAGATGGTTTTCTAGTTTGAGATGGTTTTCTGGTTTGAGATGGTTTTCAGCATTGCTGCCAAGCATTGAGATGGCTTTCTGGGTTGGTCCTGAGATGTTTTTTCTGAGTCGCACCAGACTTCTCTGCATCCCAGAGGAGCAGGCAGCAAACACAGAAGGTTCCTCCAGCATGTTACAGACCAGGTCATCATTCTTCACCCCACACTGGCTTGAGGCTTCAGCTCTGTGTAATTTTGCTGCCTCGAGGATTTCGCCCTCCATCGGAGGGAGGATGCGGAGCCTGGCTTTCACAGCAGACCAGGTTCTTGCCCTGTGGTCCTCACCCCTTCCCCAAAGGCTGTGCGAGGTGGTGCAGGGCCCTTGGGGCTGCCCCGTCCGTCGCTCGGGATGAACTCACCTCCTTTAGATGTAAGCAAAGTTCAGCAGTACAGCACACAAATCCCTCTGGCTCGTGGGTGGGCTATGCCCTCAGAGGGCACCCACCAAACTGTGGCCTCAGGGTGGGTGGGGACCCACGGGTGACCTTACCACGTCCCCTCTCTCGCTGCAGTGCCCCGAGGACCTCCGACCCATGAAGGATGGCACCGGTTGCTACGACTACTCCAAAGGGATCGACTGCTCGGATGGCTTCAACGGCGGCTGCGAGCAGCTCTGTCTCCAGCAGACCCTCCCTCTGCCCCCCGACCCCTCGTCCAGCCCCATCTTCATGTTCTGCGCGGGGGGCCTGCATCTCCCACTCGTGGCTGAATGACCCGTGCCCTTTCCTTCCCTGCCAGCCCTCCTCTGCCACCCATCCCCGAACCGGGGTGCCAGTGAGGGAGCTGGGTGCCCAAGGAAAAACACCATTTATGGAGCCGACTTCCAGCAGGGAATGGAGGCACCTGGTTTGCCTGCGGGCAAAAGCATACGGGAGCGCGAGGAGCGGTGTGAGCAGATGCACCTTCCTCCTCTCCCCCACTCTGTGACGGTACGCTTTGATCTGTGACTCACCGCGAAGGGACCCAAAAATCGTACATCGCATGTTGGAGGGGGAAAGCGGAGGATTTGTTTAAAAAATACTACTTTTTTTATTTCTCCCCTGTGCCTCTCTTAAAATAGAGTTTCATCCCTGATTTTGGCCGGGATCCTATAATCCTACACAGTTTATCATTTTCTCTCCGTAAGATCTCCCCGGCTGCAGCACGTT